CGGGACCCACGGCTCTAGCCGCTCCTCCTTTACCAGCGCCTGTACCTCCCGGCGTGCCCGCAAAGACTCACACTCCCGGCATGCTCCGCCGCTGCGGGCCGAGCCGCGCGGCCAGGCTCCGTGGCGCTGAGGCTCATGGGATTTGCAGTCTGAGAGGAAGAACCACATTTCCCAGGGTGCGCGCAGGCAATAGCCCCCTGGCGGACGTTAGAACCGTTGCAGAAGGTGCGCGCTGCCAGAGCATCCTTGAGAGGAGGCGGCTGAGGAGGCAGCAGGTGAGGAGGAGGGGAGCCCTGGCCCTGGCCCTGGCCCTGCTGACAGGAGGCCGGGACTCGAGGCCTGCGGGAGGGGCCCTGGGGGGTGCCCCGCCATGGGGGGACCCTGGGCCCGGGGGCGGAGGGACACCCCATGGAGGTGCCAGTGGCTAGTCAGAGGGTGGCCAAAGTGCCCGGCCCCCCCCCCCCCCAACAGCTCGGCAGCCCCCTCTGGCCTAATGCAGACGGGTGGCCTGGGGGCAGCCCTGGGCCCTTGTGTGCAATGGCCCCTTCCTGCTGGCCCGCGGGAGCAGGCTGCCCCGTGCCTGGTCCCAGGGAGGGAGGCTCCCCTGCCGTTCATGCAGCCAAGCCGCTATGGGTGTCTGTGCTGTAGGGTGGGGCAAATGCCGCTCACAGAGTCCTATGATGCATCCCCCCGGATGGAGCCCCTTCCCTTCTTTTCTGTTGTTGACTCAGGGCTTTTTCCCTATTTTTTTATTTATTTTTGCTGCATTCATAATAAATAGGTCCAGTGGATATCCTGGCGTAACATAGCAGTCATGCTTGGGGGTTGTACAGATTAAGGGTTTATACAACATCTGTCTTTCTATCATAAAATGCAATCTTGATTAGTCTCACATCAGGTGGGGATCTTAACTCTTACACTACTCTTTATTCTTTTTAGCGGTAGCATAGAAACTTTCCCTTTAATACTTTCCACCCCAATAAAAAGCTTTTCTCTGTAAAAGGGAAGCTGTCAGCTAAAACAAATACTTTAGACATTTTTACTTCGTGCTTCATTTTGCTCAGAAGTGGCATAGCTGGGCCGGTTTCACTTTTTGGTTCTCATGCTCAAGTCTGTAGCTCAAGTCTGTTGCTAAGTTCATGGTGGGGGAGGGAGGAGTGAGTTTAAAGTCAAACAAAAAGTTTTGTTATAGTTCTATGGAGAAAGTTTTTTTTACTAATAATATATTTTCAAAAAATCTGCAGTTTTGGTCTAGCCCTCGAGGAAAAACCCTTATGGTGAGAATGGGATGCTTTGAGACTGCATGTCAATAATTTAAATTCATAGAAAACATTGTAATGGATATTTTTCAAAGAATGTATGAACGAAAAGTGACTTATTTCCATATATTCCTCTGAAAATCAGACCCATTATCTGAACTTAGTTAAGTGCATTCGTTGTTCTGTAGTATATTGTTCTTGTTTTTCCTTTGTTCTTTTACTTCTTTTACTGTTAATGGTTTATGGTGACACACATGTAGATCTGGATAATTTGGTGCTAATGCATTTAACACTGTACAGTGGTTTATTTTCCCTTCAAATATTTTACTACACAAAGTTGAGTGTAACATCCTTACTTGTGTATTGAGTTCCACTGCCCTCTACTGGTTGCTCAATACTATTCTCTATGAGCTGAGTGCAGTGGATGGTACCAAGTCTCTTGGTATAAAAAGGAGGAACCAGAGTATTCTTCATGAAGAGAATTGAACTTCACACTCCTTTGATCCAGAATAGCCCAGTTCTGCTGACCTTCAAGGTACCTGCAAGGCCCAACTATTTCACTAGGATTTTCCTTGGGAGAGGTGTGTTGAGGACTAGGGCTTTTACAAAAGACAGAACTATGTAGCTCTTTAAAGACTAACAAGATGGTTTATTAGGTGATGAGCTTTCATGGATACAGACCACTTCTTCTCCGGTCATCTGAAGAAGTGGGCTATGCCCACGAAAGCTCATGATCCCATCTACATGATTTGTTAGTCTGTGTGCTACCAGACCATTTGTTGTTTTTTTTCTGTAACAGACTAACTCGGCTACCCCCTGAAGCTTCTGAACATAGAGATATGCACAGCCTTAACTGTTTGCAGGATCAATGTCTTAGATTCACACGGAGATCATAAATCTAAGTATGCAAGTCATCCCTTTGACTTCCATGGACTATTCATGTGAGTAAAATTAAGTGTTTGCAGAATCGGGGCCTACATAGTGTGACTGAAAATTTTTGCTATGTGGAACAAGTAGAAACCTGCAGTGAACAAGCCACTCACTCCAATAGTCAAATTCACTCTCTCACAAACATTTCCTATGTGTTTGCAAGTTAGTTGTGTTTGATCCCCTTTAGCACAAGCCTGTTATCTGAATTAACATGCCTGATATGACATGCCTGATATTACATTATTCAACTTCTTCCAAGAAACCTCAGTTCTCTCAAGAAAGACTGCATTTTTAAATCTTTCCGTACCCTTAATATTCAAATGTCCTTATGTCTCTTCACTCTGTAATTAAAAGGAATTGTGGTAAGCATGAAAGGTCAAATAGCTATTATGTTTTTATAAAACGTACACACAGTGGACTGACTGTTCCATACATTTAGGCTGTGTCTACATTGGCACCCTTTTCCAGAAAAGGGATGCTAATGAGACACTTCGGAATTGCAAATGCCGCGGGGGATTTAAATATCCCCTGCGGTATTTGCATGAACATGGCTGCTGCTTTTTTCCGGCTCGGGGCTTTGCCAGAGAAAAGCGCCAGTCTAGACAGGATCTTTCGGAAAATAAAGCCTTTTCCGGAAGATCCCTTATTCCTCTTAAATTCAGGAATAAGGGATCTTCCAGAAAAGGCTTTATTTTCCGAAAGATCCCGTCTAGACTGGCGCTTTTCTCCGGCAAAGCCCTGAGCCGGAAAAAAGCGGCAGCCATGTTCATGCAAATACCGCGGGGGATATTTAAATCCCCTGCGGCATTTGCAATTCCGAAGTGTCTCATTAGCATCCCTTTTCCTGAAAAGGGTGCCAATGTAGACACAGCCTTAGAGTCTATATACATTTAGTTTCACTAGAGGGCAACATACTGGAGCTTTTTTGGGAGAGAATTGATCAGCGTCACTAAACCTTTGGAGAATAGGGACATGTAAGTTAGGGCCCTGATGAACAAAGCGTTTAAACTGTAGATAAAATATTATTGACTGGAATTTTTATTCTGAAGTATATCTTTCATAGCTGCAGTACTCTAACAGCCAGCTGTTTGGTGGAAGCAGAGTAACTCTTCTGCACAGATTTGCGCAGTTTTTATGGGTATTTCTGCACAGAAAATCTTCACAGCTTTCAAAACCAATCAAATCCCATATTTATTCCAGAAATGACTTGACTGCGTGAGAAGCAGTTTAGCAATGGAGACCCAAAGACATCACTCATTTCCCTCTCTCTGCCTCCCTTCCTCTCCCAGAAAGGCTCTAGGTAGCAATGCTGCCAGCTTTGTAGGTCTCGTATGACTTTTTGGATAGTTAATGATCTGAAAGTAGTTCTGCAGAGAGGGCTATTTTTGTAGCTATCTGGAACGCCCTGAATTTCTGTTTCTTGTGACCAAGAAGAGCAAAAGTTAACTAAACAGGAATGTCTCTGAGGCTCAGCTACCACAGTGATGGATGTAATGTAGAGTATTACCAGCTCTGAGTTTTAAAAAATCATATGAGTCAGGCCTCCAAAAATCAT